TCATAACTAGCCCACAATGCGTCCAAATTACGTTTTCTTGAGCTTTTCTGATAGCTGGAAATATACTTAAGAACGCTACGTTCATAAGTTTGAAAAATCCTAATGAGCTTCGTTGGTATGTGGCTTGAAGTAAGGCAACCTCAAGGGTGTTTTGCGATTTTTATGTTTCACCGAACTTGTCTCTCTTTTTTCGGTCTTGCACTACATTTTTCAACCCATAAGGACGATTGGAGTTTTGTCTCCATATCGTAGCCGTACACTAAAATATTGTCACCGAAAATTATCCTATCCAAAAATGTAGGATCACTGTTAGAACGTTCAAGCAGCTAAAGGGAAATTGACATTTGGTTGGATTTTCGTTCAACGGACAACAATCAAGGGGCAAGTGTACCCGAAACTCGATGCTTGTCTACATATTCTATCAAAATTGTATGTACAGAGCCTTCAGAAATATTACTCTGTTCAACAAGCTCGAAACGACCGTTTTCGAGCACTTTTGCCCGCATTTCTTCCACGTGACAAATGTCAGTTGCCGTTGAGGGTCGATTCCCATGCTCCTCATCTTTGACAAACTCCTGACCAGTTTTGAATCGTTTAACTCATTCAAAACAGTGGGAACATCCCATACAATGATCATGGTAAACTTTACTTAGCGTATACCAAAAGTTTTGGTACAAGGTATACCGAGTTTAAAACAAAATTCAATGTTGAATCTTTGTTCTATCAGTGATCGCATGATGAAAATCGCAAAACGCACCTGACTTATTCGTATTCAAGATGACACAGAATAAACACTGATCAAAATAAACAAAATCTGTGAACGTAGCGTTCTTAAGTATATTTCCAGCTATCAAAAGAGCTCAAGAAAACGTAATTTGGACGCATTGTGGGGTAGTTATGACCAAAATCCGGTTTCTAATCTAACAGACCTCGTATTATCTCTGAGCTAATTGATAGTTCGTGTGATTCAAAAACCAAACAGCATGTAGCTTCCAAAATTATAAAAAAAATTGCAAAAGAAAAGAGACCTTCAACGTCAAAAGAAATGGAGCCTCTATCCTCTTCCCAAAGCCAAGGCAAACCACTCAAAGTAAATTTAAACACAAAACTTTCTGACCGGTCAAAGGAACCCTTACTCTCTGTTGAAAATGTGCATGATGTTAAAACTTCTTTGAAACTCAGTGATCGATCAACTTTGAGCTTTGCTAGAGTCATTAGAATCGCTACAAACAATAGAGCGGCAATTCAAAAAAATTTAAAATGTGCTATTCAAGATGTGAGTCACACACTAGATAAGTTTTTCAGGGCCGAGCAAATCGAATTCTTGAATGAGAAGAAGAAAGTTCAAAGTAAAATTTTAGAAACATTAGTTTTTTGTTGTGATATTAAAGGGTTTTAGAATGTATTCAAAATAAGCGTAATGTTCAAAATATGCGTCTAAAGTTTGGAATTGATGGAGGTCGAGGGTTCTTAAAAGTATGCTTGTCTGTCCTTCCTGAATTTGATGATGATGCCGATAGTTCAGCAGAAAAAGAGAAAAGTGGTAGACAGACATATGCAGAGGGAATTTTAGCCAAGAAATCTTTGGAATCTGGTGTCAAAAAATTATTTATTCTAGCTGTTTGTCCACATGTGCAAGAACATTATGAAAATGTATCAATATTATGGGAAAAATTATGTATGAACGAGTTTGATGCCACCTTAGCTACTGATCTGAAATTAGCAAATATTATTGATTAAAATAATGAGTCACTCCAGTGCCCATCCTTGTACATGGTGTGATGCTGAAAAATGTAATCTTCACGAGAAAGGTACCTACAGAACGGTGGGCACCTGTAAAAAGAATTATTTAAAATGGGTCGAATCAGGTTCCATCTGGAATGAAGCTAAAAATTCTCAGAATTGTGTCCACCCCAGTTTATTAAAAAAACGATGAAGATAAAATGTTTCTGGATCTCATACCCCCTCCAGAACTGCACCTCCTGTTGGGTGTTGTCAATACCATGTATGACCATTTTTATAAAGAAAAGAAAGAAGATGCTGAGAAGTGGGCGAAAGCATGTCACGTAAAACGTCTTATGACGCATGGTTTGCCCGCATTTGATGAGAATTCATGTAATAACTTGCTTAAAAAGGTTGACATTTTAAGAAATTATTCGATAGGTTGTCTTAAATACGCTGATTCATTTAAAAAGATCAAAGATGTAAAGAAATCTTGTTTCACAGCAAAACTAAAAGCAAATTACATCGAAACCATTGAAAAATTTAAAGAAAGTCACTTGAGTCTAGGTATTCCTGTAACGCCTAAAGTACACGCTGTGTTCTCTCACGTTCCTGACTTTTGCCAGAAGTACCAACGTGGCCTAGGTTCCTATTCTGAGCAAGCAATGGAATCTGTACACCACGATTTTTATAAAGTTTGGGAAAATTTTAAGGTATCCGAAACAAATCCCACTTACAGCAATGCACTTTTGCGTGCTATTTGTGTATACAACTCATCTCACCTGTATAATGTATATTTGGTGCTATTATATTTCAATTTACTGTTATTACCGTTAAATTTTATTTTTGAATAGTTTTACTTTTAAAATAGACAAAGTACTGTTTATTTCTTTTATTCTGTTACTATATAAGAAAAATGTCTTCCTTACTTAGTCCAGAAATATGTGACTTTTCGGAATGTCAAACATGTCTTATACAACCAAAAATTTAAAAAACATTTTTAATTTCGTTATCTAGTTTACTTTTTTTTTTATCAGGGAGTTTATTTTCAACATTAATCAAAATTATTGTGACCTTTTGTAATTGTTTTATTCTTTAAATAATTGTCGAAGGTAATTTTCTTTACAGTAAGAAGTCTTCCAGATTTGAACTATCCAATCCACTGTATGAGAGGAGGTCGAATTCAGGGACTTCTAGCGTTATTTGAATCGTCATTATCCACCCATTTTATTTGTGTTTTTATTTTTCATGTTTTGGGGAAAAATTCAGGGGGCAAAATTTCAGATAAGATGTTCGAAGGATGGACTGCAACAGGGATAAGGTTTGGGAGGTGGGAGAAAGTTCTCAAATTCTACTTTCTAGTGATGGAGTAGATTTAAGAACTTTCTGTCAACCCGAACCGCTCGTTTTCCCCCAACTCATCGCTTTATCCGTCCTCTCTTTTTGAGTCAGCTGCACCCATCAAGTAAGTAATGGCATAATTTTCATAGTACCTAAATGCATAGCGTACAGAAGAACCGTTTTAACCAATTCTGAACGAAATAAAAATCCAGCGCTTGAGGTTGCAACGCGATTCGGGTCATTTTGACGAATTTTAAATCGAAAGCTGGCAACACTGCAACTCTAAATTGTTCAAATATGTCTTTTCTAATTGAAAGCTCTCAGCTTGCACATTTCTAGTGAGATTTTGAATGGAAATCACACTGTTGAGAATATATGGTTATTTCATAGCTGCGATGTTTTTACTGTTTTTTGAAGAATCTAATGATTTTCATACTTTATCTTCTATAACCAAGGTCCCAAATTCTCTTTCCTTATTTCTATATATTTTTAAGATTTTGAGGAAGTTACATTGAAGACACATTATTACCCCTAAAAGTATGCTTGAATTTGAGAGGGAGGGGGCAACCTTACCCCCCTACCCCCTCCCCCTCCTTCCTGTAGCCAAAAAAATTAGTTCTTTCCGATTTGTTTCTCTCAAGGTTTTGCACTTAGATGGTTAATTTTTTTAATTTCATGAAAAGAAAAGAAACGTCTAAAATGTATCGTAGTTATTCATTGAATAGGAATGGAAGGTGGTTATTGGTGGTGATTAGCAATGCACTGAGCTTGAGGACGGCCGGAGAATTCAGGACTGTGAAGAGTATAAATATCTAGGAGTTTAGTTAACTTAGGACGGAAACTTGGATCGGGCTATTAAAGGTCGGAATGTGCAAGGCAAGAAAGCTATTACGATGCTAAATGGGCTGCTTTGGGACCAGAGTATTTCTAAGGAAAATAAAAGAAGAATTTAAAACGTCATCGTGAAGAGTATTGTGACTCGGGGGCAATTGAAGGAAAGAAGTAAAGATATGCTCGGGGCAAGAGATAGACTTTTAACGGAGGTCTGCTGGAATCTTGAGAAGAGACAGAGAGCGGATCCAAAATGAAAAGACGCAAAAGGTAATGATTGTGAAGAATGATATTGTGCCTTATATCAGGTCCAAGCAGTTGGTCTGGTATGGATATGTGCGAAGGATGGCAGACGATCGGTTGCCCAAGCAGGTTTTCTGTTGGGTTCCTCCCGGGAGGAGATGGCGTGGACGTCCGGTGAAAGGTTGGCATCACGGAATTGAGGGGGAGATCATGAGGTGTCTTTTGCCTCATGATCTCTGGGAAGATAGGGGCAATGGCAGTTGGGTGTCTTAGAGCACAAAGCCGCGCTTCAAAAGCAATTGTTATGTATGTATATATTGCCATATTTGTATCTCATCACTCGACTTTTGGGTCAAAATTCCCAGTCATGCAGCCAACTTACTTATATATGTAAGATTTCAATACTCTGTTTGTTGTAGATCCTGCAATAGATTTTCCTTCTAAGAGTAGATTGTTATTTATATCTGTTAATGTTTTTTTTTTTTTTTTTTTTTTTTTTTTTTTTAATAACCACCTCCAATCAGCATTGCTATAATGATAGGATGTTTACCCTGCAAGCTTTTTTTTAATGAGAGCTGGAAGCTGTTTTATTAGCCCTGCAATTGCTTTTTTTTTAAAAAATGTTCTTATAAAGTCATATAAGAGTTTCATGGTTTTGTTCTTGGATTTCCATAATAAATTGTAATACGTTAACGATTTTATGAAAAAAACACATTCGTTGTCTGTCTATCTATCAATCGCTCTCTCTGTTTTCTCCTCCTTATCTCTCCTCCCATCTCTGTATGTATCTACCTATTTCTCTTCTTGCAACCTTGTTTGATGAATGCATAATTAATAGTTCTACCTCTCTCTTACTTTTACAGCTTGGTCTGGCGATATTAAGAATGGATTTGCAATTGTTCGACCTCCTGGCCATCATGCGGAAGAATCCAAAGCAATGGGTTTTTGCTTCTTTAACTCAGTTGCTGTTGCTGCCAAACTTCTTCTTCAACAGATCCCGGAGTCTCATCGGAGGATACTCATTGTTGACTGGGTTTGTATGAAAACTTCTAGTGGACTTAATTTATGATGTGTAGAGACTACTAAAATTAAGAAAACCGGTGAATTCATCAGGGATTTGATGTTGAAAACTGGAGTTTCCCTTCTGCTCATAGATCAATTTTTTTTATTAACAAGGGGACCTTACACTCATGCCTCCTCAAAATCGAATGGTGTTTGGCCAAATTGCAGTCAATGAAAATCCATTGGACATGTCTTTCAGCGTTTTTGCCAGCCCCCCCCCCCCCCCCCCCCCCCCCCCCNTAAAGTTGACCCCAGTTTTTCGGGGTGCAGCGCGTCGTGCGCCTATCATGGGTTTGTTTGCCTCGTTACTACCCTGAGACACTGTGATGTAGTAGATGGCGGTGTCGGCCCCCACTCTGCAGGTCTGTGGTATGATTTGTGGCGGCTAGCCACCACTCCGCCAACCAGCGCAGCTCATTGGCTGGAGCTCAACACTGTCACGGCTACATAAGCCGCGAGCGCATCTCTCTTGCTCACTCCGCGCCCGTCGACCACACGGGACTCACGTCGCTCAGCACCCAGCGGACATCATGCAGCCGGCCGGCTCGCCCTTTCCAACGGCCCTTCTTAGGGCTACCACACGATGAGCACCTCTCATGGCTTAGTCCATAGATTTTTGGCCGAACAAATTTTTTTCCCATGGTTTTTCCAATGCTTTCTCTGATTTTTCCATCCTGATTTGTTAATTGATTTGTTGCTACCTTTTTTTTTCTTTTTCTTTTTTTTTTACTACTATCACTTACATGTCACTGTTTATATGAGTGGTTTTTTTTTCTTCTTCCTTTTTCAGGCAGCCCGGTATGATTTGAAATTTGTTGGTTTCATAATCGTGGAACATTTACACAAGTTACGAAAATAAACGCAATATACGAGCATGTTCCGAGCAGACTTCCAGAAAATTTCTCATATTTCCACTTCCACCTTTCGCACTATGTACAGATACCTCTTGTAGGAGGAAATTGTAGGTTACTGGTTAAATGAACAGTCCTTTTAATATATCAATGTAGTAGTTAGATCAGCAGTGGAGGAAAACTGTGACTCATAAGTGATTAAAGAATTAAGAGTGCCATCATTTAATTGCTCTAAATTTTTAAGTGAGACTGCATCAAATGCTGAGATATTTAGTTGATCTGATGATATTAGATCAACTGTAATGGAGATGTTGCTTGTGCAATATACGAGCATGTTCCGAGCAGACTTCCAGAAAATTTCTCATATTTCCACTTCCACCTTTCGCACTATGTACAGTAATTTCATTTTACATCTACTAGATGTAAGGGCATATTACCTATCGGTCGAACAGCCCCCTTCCCTCCAATGATAATTCTGTGTACATTGAATCTATAACTGACAGTGACCCTGCATTTATTCTCGTAACTTGTTTAAATATTCTTTGATTATGAGACCGATTTTCAATTCTTTCTGGGCTGCCTGAAAGAGAAAGGAGAACAAAATAACCACTTGTATAAACAGTGACGTGTAAGTGATAGTAGTAAAAAAAAAGAAAAAGAAAAAAAAAAAAAATTAGCAACAAATCAATTAACAGATCAGGATGGAAAAATCAGAGAAAGCATTGGAAAAACCAAGGGAAAAAAATTTGTTTGGCCAAGAATAGAACCCCGGACCTGCAGAGTGTGGGCCGACGCCGCTATCCACTACATCACAGTGTCTCAGGGTAGGAGCGAGGCAAATAAACCCTTTATAGGCGCACAGCGTGCTGAACCCCGAGAAACTAGGGTCAACTTTACCCTTTTCCAGGGGGGGGGGGGGCATTGGCAAAAACACTGAAAGACAATCCAATGGATTTTCATTAACTACAATTTGGCCAAACGCCGATCGATTTTGAGGAGGCATGAGTATAAGGTGCCCTTGCAAGTAGAGGTCTTTATTCATTCTATGATATTGAATATGAAAAAAGTTGAAAAAACAAAATCAATATTATTGCTTTGAACTTCGGTGGAAACTTTCTTTTCAAGCAATGAATCTCGAGCAACTACGAGGGGTATTCGTAAAATAAGTTAATATTTGTCATATCTTCGAAACTAATGAATATAATTTAAATCTGTAAAAAGTTTGTGAATTTTTATACTCTCAGCTTCCCAGAAAACTTCAGTTTTTTAAGTTCGGTCTTCTGAGTGCCGAAGGACATTAGTTTTCTTACATCCGTCTCTCCCCACCGCGTGTCCAAAATTTACACGCGTCTTTAAGGGTGCTCGATGAGTGTTACTCATTTATTTCTTAGAAAGAAGCACAAATATTGATGCATACAGAAACTGTGATGTTATGAAAAGGCTCAAATCAGCATTTTAAAGATCATACCCTGGCCTTTTGTCTCGTCAAGTGACGCTGCTTCATGACAACGCTAGGCCCCATACAGCTCATGTGACCAATCAGTTGTTGACCTCCTTCAAGTGGGACCTTTCCCCCATTCCCTTATTCTCAGGATCTCACCCCAAGTGATTTACCACTTATTACCTGAGCTAGAGAAGGGTTTTGGCAAAAAAAGTTTCATGGACGACGATGAGGTGTAGGAAGCTGTGAAAAAGTGGTTGCAAAATCACAATCGCCAGTTTTTCGCTGATGAAATCAAAAAGCTCTTGTCACGGTATGTAAAATTTGCCCAACGAGATGGGGATTACGTGGAGAAGTAAAGCAAGGTCTTCTCAAACATTTAAATTTTAAATTTTAAACAAAAAATTGTATTTTGACAATTTGCAGGATGAAGCCGCATGCTTCTGTCCTGCGACCTCCCCACTGCGCGTCAATTTTGGACATGCAGTGGTGAGAGACAGGTGTGGAAAAACTGATGTCACTCAGCACTCAGAAGACCAAATTAAAAAAACTGAAGCTTTTTAGAAAGCTGAGAGAATAGCAATTTAAAGAATTTTCACGGATTTAAATTATCTTTATTAGTTTAGAGGATATGACGAATATTAACTTACTTTACGGATACCTCTCGTAGGAGGAAACTGTAGGTTACTGGGTAAATGAACAGTCCTTTTAATATATCATTGTAGTAGTTAGATCAGCAGTGGAGGAAAACTGTGACTCATGAGTGATTAAAGAATTAAGAGTGACATCATTTAATTGCTATAAATTTTTAGGTGAGACTGCATCAAATGCTGAGATATTTAGTTGATCTGATGATATTAGATCAACTGTAATGGAGATGTTGCTTGTGTGAGGGATTTGCGATTTGACTGTCGATTCTTATGTAAAAGTTCGTGAGAAACACGATGGTGCCACTAGTGGGGCCGATAAGCATAACAATCGTGCACTTCTGGAAGAAAGCATGAAAATTTCAGGGATTCATCTCTACCCTATAGACATTCGATTCAGACATAGACCCCAAAAATCTGAGCCCCCTGGGGGGGCAGGGGGGGCCCCAAATTTTGAATTTTGAATAACTACTGAACGGCTAATGTTAGCGTAATTTTTTTTAAGCAGGACGATAGAAAATTTTATCAGGAACGAAAATGGTTCTTATGAATTTTTCTGTGGGATCGATATTTAAGGCGTGAAACGGGAAAAACCATCGGGGGACGGGGAGCCGGCAGTTCTGAGGCAGATCCGCGCGCTGCGCTGTTTGCCCGGGACGCGCGCGGCGGCGCAGTACGGTGTTACCGACGAAACAGCTGCTTGTCTTGGTTTAATCTCAACGATGCGCAGTTTTAAAAGTATTGCGAATATATCGTACTACCTATAAAGCCTTAAAATAGGGCTTAACTTATGCAGGTAATATATGTATACAGGGTGAGCGAAAAGTCCCCGACCCCCCCTCTAACTTTTGAACGAATTGAGCTAAGGAAATAAAACTTTGGGAATGTTCCTATCTCAAAGGGGACCATCTTTTGAGGGGGTCAAAATTTTGGTCCCCCCCTCAGGGAGGGACAGGGGCTCCCCAACTTTTTTTTTCAAATAGCAACCCCTGTCTTGTGATACCTCATTCGAAAGAGCATAAAAAACTAAGAATTTTGGCGTAAACTGCAGATCAATATCTCAATTTTTGACCGAGTTATGATAGGTCAAAGGTCAAATTTGACCTATTTTCAAAAAATCATAACTCCGGTTCAAATTATCGTAAAGAAAAAAATAAAACGGGAAAATGTACCAAATTGTGTTCGCTTTTACGTAAAAATTGCAGAAATCACTTCGATTAAATTTTAAGGGGGGGCTCGGACCCCCAAATACGTCAATTCAAAGGTCATTCAATTTTCCTGCGAAATAAGCCAATTTCCTCTGGATTTGCCTCCACATTATCTCAGTAAGGTCAAAATCAGTTCAACATTACGTTGGCAAGTCCCCAAATTTCGGGAAAAGTTAAAAAAACGAAATTTAAGGTGATTAAATTTGACCGTTTAAATTTCGTTTTTTTAACTTTTCCCGAAATTTGGGGACTTGCCAACGTAATGTTGAACTGATTTTGACCTTACTGAGATAATGTGGAGGCAAATCCAGAGGAAATTGGCTTATTTCGCAGGAAAATTGAATGACCTTTGAATTGACGTATTTGGGGGTCCGAGCCCCCCCTTAAAATTTAATCGAAGTGATTTCTGCAATTTTTACGTAAAAGCGAACACAATTTGGTACATTTTCCCGTTTTATTTTTTTCTTTACGATAATTTGAACCGGAGTTATGATTTTTTGAAAATAGGTCAAATTTGACCTTTGACCTATCATAACTCGGTCAAAAATTGAGATATTGATCTGCAGTTTACGCCAAAATTCTTAGTTTGTTATGCTCTTTCGAATGAGGTATCACAAGATAGGGGTTGCTATTTGAAAAAAAAAAGTTGAGGGCCCCTGTCCCCCCCCTGAGGGGGGGACCAAAATTTTGACCCCCTCAAAAGATGATCCCCTTTGAGATAGGAACATTCCCAAAGTTTTATTTCCTTAGCTCAATTTGTTCAAAAGTTAGAGGGGGGGTCGGGGACTTTTCGCTCACCCTGTACAAGCGAGCGCACGGCAACAGAAAGAGAAGGTGTTAAGTGCTGGAGTTCCGAATTGTTTTGTTGTATGGGTTTGTCAAGTTTTATTACAGCATCCGAGATAACTGCAGCAGACATCAGTTGAACAGAACAAAATCTGAGGCACAGTTGCCTCGGGAAAGGGGGGGGGGGCTAAAAGTCACAAATCTTATTTGTGTACCTCGATGACCTGAAAAATGATTTTAAAGTGTTTCTGTTTCTCTCGGTGCTGCGACATCAGGATGGTATCTAAATATGCTTACTTAAGACAGGGAGTCTAATTTTGTAAACAATGAGCATACATAAAAACACGCTTGCTTATTCTCCTCTCTTTCAGGAATATTTTGGTACATCATTGCTACGTAAAGGCATTTTTTTAAGAGGACCAAAACCACCTTCAAAACTTGCTCCAAAAAAACGGCAAAAGAATCTTGAGAAAGTTTGATAGGGATAAATGACCCCCAAAAAACCTTTGTTGGACTGCTTCTTGTACAGTACAAAGAATATTATTAAGTAATAACTAGTCGCCGTATCCGCTAATCTGTCAAAACGGTCCATTTGAGTGATAGGAAGTAGCGCCTAAGTACTGGGAACCTATATGTCAGCGCATCATAGGTACGATATTCCGCAATCTCGGTAATTTTGCAACTGATTACTGATTGTTAATTTTGACTGATTTTTTTATATTTTGACGATAAATTAACCTTTTGATAATCTCTAAAGCTAATTCGATCAGTGTTATAATATGTACGATAAAGTTTAAGGTGTACGTTTTGTGCATTGCATATTTTGCAAGTCCCGTTTCTTGAAAATTGTCTCCGACATACTTACCTAGAACTCTTCCATGAGCTCCATACAAATCAAAAATCGGTACGAGATTTGCGGATTGAAAAAGAAGAAATGCAATGAATTTCTTCCTGAGGCCTGGTCCTTCTCCGAGGTTCTTTAAAGAATCAGAACCTGCATGATAAATAAATTTCCTCCTATATTAATATTTTTTTCAAAACAAATGTTACCAACTCCACTCTAAATTCCATACAACAAAATGTAAGATAATATACATGGATTTTTTTTACTGCTCATTCCATTTTCTATGTGTCGTGGTAAGTATCAATAATATCTTCAAGGATGACTCGATAAAAAGAGGCGATAGTATTCAGATATCTTCCTTTTTATCATTTATTTAATGTATTGCTCTATTTTTTTTTAAATATGCATATTTGTTGAATAACTGAAAAAACAGGGAGTTCATGAAAATGAAAACTTCTATTGACTGGCTGGAGGGAACAAGAGGAGAAAAGAACATTGTCGGAATGTTCCGTATGAATCAGTACCTATGCAATTGCGAGAAACCAATGAACATGAACGAAAAACGATATTTCCTTCATTTTGAAGGAAATCTGGTAACCTTATAGTGGCGAAGGGACTGTGGAGCCCCCCTCCCCTCCCTCCACACTCCTCAATTAATATCTCTACCAAGTTTTCCAAAATTCATGGTTATGTGAGCAGCTCATTGTCTCATTCGCCGAAAGTAACATGAAAAATAAGCTAAAAATAAGTTACGAAGGATCCGCCATTTCCAATAGTCATGAAAAAGTGGGTCAAAATCGTATTAAAACTTGTTATTTCGCTCTAATATCTTCAAAAAATGTAATCCTGTACAAAACTTACGTGAGGAAAGGGTAATTTACTCTGTATTGAGGTCGAAAAAGCTCTGCATTCAGAGAAAACAAGACGCGTGATGCGCGATGACCGATCCCTCCTATTGACTCGGCGCTCTCACATTGTAGTATTTCGCTTTTGCTTGTTTTTATGTATTACTAGTAAAAAGTAGAGCTTATATTACTGAGGAAAAGTATTTAGGCAGTACGGTAAATTCATTATTATTTTTAAAACTGCGCATCGTTGAGATTAAACCAAGACAAGCGGCTGTTTCGTCGGTAACACCGTACTGCGCCGCCGCGCGCGTCCCGGGCAAACAGCGCAGCGCGCGGATCTGCCTCAGAACTGCCGGCTCCCCGTCCCCCGATGGTTTTTCCCGTTTCACGCCTTAAATATCGATCCCACAGAAAAATTCATAAGAACCATTTTCGTTCCTGATAAAATTTTCTATCGTCCTGCTTAAAAAAAATTACGCTAACATTAGCCGTTCAGTAGTTATTCAAAATTCAAAATTTGGGGCCCCCCCTGCCCCCCCAGGGGGCTCAGATTTTTGGGGTCTATGTCTGAATCGAATGTCTATAGGGTAGAGATGAATCCCTGAAATTTTCATGCTTTCTTCCAGAAGTGCACGATTCTTATGATATTTTCCACTTATCGGCCCCACTACACTGGTTTTCTCTGAAATCAACTCCCAAGCTCAAAAAAAGCTCTCAAGTTGAGCGCCAAATGGAGGGGATATCCCGCCCTACCTTGAGAGTCCTCCTCGACATCAAAACAAACTCTCCATGCAAAGATAGGGAGCAAATACATTGCCAGGGCTGTCACTTTATTTGGAGACTCCAAAACTGAAAACACGGCAACCCTGCGAATGTATTTGCGTCCTATCTTTGCATAGAGAGTTTAATTTGATGTAGAGGTGGACTCTCAGGGTAGGGCGGGATATCCACTCCATTTTGGCCTCACTTTGAGAGCTTTTTTTGAGCTTGGGAGATGATTTCAGAGAAAACCAGTGGCACCATTGTGTTTCTTGCGAACTTTTACATAAGAATTAACAGTCAAATCACAAATCCCTCACACATGCAACATCTCCATTCAACAAAAAACAATCCTTCTTTTAATTTTTTTTTTTTTAATTCTCTGTCTAATTTGCTCTTGGATTATGATAAAAGTAAGATATTAATACATGTTTGACCTATGAAGTAAAATATTTAGTTTAATCATTATATATATTTAATTTACTCGTTTTTTCAGGATGTTCATCATGGAAACGGTACTCAAAAAATGTTCTACGATGATAAGAGAGTTTTATACCTGTCCATTCACAGACACGATGGAGGAAACTTCTTTCCAGGCACTGGTGGTGCAACGGAAGTAAGTAACTCTAAAAGTCTAAAAAAATCTGGCTTTCTGGGATACAACAACTAACATCTAATAAAATTGGGAATAATACCTGTAGAATCTTCAATGCTCTTCTACCTTCGTGGAAAGAAATTGCCTTTCTTTTTATTAAGTGGGACAAATTGTGTCCTCGTAGCCTGAAGTTGTCTCTTCTTGTAGGTAGCAGAGAATAATGGAATGGTAGCGGATTTTACATTTTAATAGTTTTCAAATTTTTCCTTGCGAGTCCTTGAAAAGCCCACTGTTGTGATTTCAAACAATTTTGATTTGAAAAGAAGATCACAAACAGTGAGTAGTGTGTAACTACTTTTTTTTCCCCTGCCAGAATTTCTAATTTAATTTATTTTGGTATGTTGCTTTGAAGAACTTGAACAATTGATTGCTACCCTATGAATTTTAGTGTGGAGCTGGAAATGGACTTGGATACACAGTCAATGTTGCCTGGTCAGGTGGTTTAAACCCCCCAATGGGAGATGCAGAATACCTAGCAGCATTCAGATCTATTGTCATGCCTATTGCCAAGGTGAGTTACTATCATCGTAACCCTGCATTAATCAAATTTCAGCTCTCTTCAAAGTATATTTTTTATCTAAGTAACTTTCAGACTTGAGATCGTTCATCTTGCTAACGAGGCAGAGCCTCTCTTTGAACTGAGAAAAAGTTCATTAAATTGCTTCATATAGCAAGGCATATAAATGTCTCTGGAGTTGATCTATACTACTTAAATTGGTTTTCAGTCCCCTTGTCATCTTGAAGCAGGATTGCTGAAGCCTTTTGATTGAATGGGAAGAGCATCACATTTTCTAAGAGGGGTATGTGCAAACTAGGTCCAATCTTACTAGTGGTGGACCATGCCCTGCCTTTTCCAACAGTTTCGAGTTCCCTAACAATTCTGAGGAGTAACAAAGGAGGGGCGGTGTCAAAGTTCCTAATTGGCGAAATTTTGGGTAAATTTTTCATTCTTGGATTTTACAAATGCATGAAAAGAGGAAACGTTGCAAATCGAAAGTTAGGAAATTCCATTTTATGCTTTTTGATGCTTAAAACACAACAAAAATAAAATCTAAACGGCAGAAAATAACATTAAAATCACTGAAATAGCAACTTGACTTTCCAGGCTCCAGTTAAAGTTTAGTTTTTTATTGCAGGCATTCGCTCCAGACATCGTCTTAGTTTCAGCAGGCTTTGACGCTGCCATTGGTCACCCACCGAACCTAGGTGGCTACAAAGTATCAGCAGCTTGTTTTGGTCACATGACCCAGCAACTCATGCAGTTGGCTGATGGCAAGGTGGTGCTTGCTCTTGAAGGTGGCTATGATCTTGCTGCCATTTGTGATTCTGCTGAAGAGTGCGTCAGAGCCCTTCTAGGAGACAAGGTAACGCAGATTAAAGAACAAGAGCTAACTCGACGCCCATGCCAAAATGCCATCGACACTCTTCAGAAAACCATCGCAATCCAGGTATGGGCAATTGCACCTACGTTTAATTTGTCTTACTATACAATGAGTCCCAGACCAAATGTACTGAGCTTTTTTCTCGGTTGTTGTTGGTCACACTGAGTCAGGGACTGCGCAAGTAAATGGGGAATTGATCCCAAGGAATGCAAATTTCATGGGCCCAAAACCCCCCTTTTTCCCCCTTGAGGGTGTAAGTGGTGGTTCATGATCCTAGAAGTCAGGGTTCTCGACAGAATTGCAATTCAATAGCATCAGAATTGAACAGTACGACTAATTTCACTCAGTATTGTCCCCCCTGAAAATCCAAAATCAGCCCACCCTAGGCCCAAAAATGACCCTCCTAACAAAGAAGGCACTACCCCCCCCCCCCCCCC